CTTGGACACCGAATTTGCCCACACTATGTTGCCCCAGTCCTCCCCTTTGGGGTTGTATTGGTAGAAGAGATGGGACAACCCCTGTAGTACATGGGTCCTGCACAATTCAATCATTTGATTTCACTTAAAATATCGTCAATGGAGTGTGAAATGGTTGCAAAAGTTCATTAGATTAAAATTAGGAAGAAAGGGAAAATGGGATTTTCATAAAATTAATGCACTCAATAATGTGACAGATTCCAGTTAACACTTAAATAAGAATTTTTGACATCCTATAAGAATATGACACATGGATGTATGCATTACATCTAGTAAGCAATATCATTCAAAGAGAATTGCAAGAAAAGTCGGGAGAGAAAATTACCATTTGGGTCTGCCAGATCATTATTTTGGAGGTGGAGATCTGTAGACCACGGCAGGAGAGTAGAACAAACAAAGAAAAAAGTAAGATGCGTTTAGTTGAAGCAGGTGATATCACATGAATAAAAATTCGGAAACCTTGGAACATGGATCATAGCATCAGGAAAATAAATCGGGAAATGGGGTTCTCATTAACGACTCCTTTTTCCCAATAACAGGTGTACAGCATTACGAAGATTATTTCCTAAATTCATCCTTGTTTACTAACTTTTGTGCTAAGATCTAGCAGAGACCCAACAAGATGCACACGAGACTCTCCATCCTTGTCGCACTAAAAGCTTATCTTCGAAATCGACCCCAACATTTCATTGCCGCCTACTTGTGGATATGAACTTTTCGAAGGGGAGGACCAATTGAGGCTGTATCTTATATATGTCTCATGGCAGTTTTCATGGGACGGCAGTCCCAACCACTTCTGATGAGCAAAACATGAATCTCATGACAATTTTCTAGACAATTTGCAGACGTTTATGTCCACAAGCTAAGGCAAGGAGGATAACGCTAAGCCAGGCGCAAAAAACCGCTGTGTTTAGGTCATTTTTCATAGGTATTACATTGTGTTTTTCAACTTCTTCCATGCAGCACTTCGGGGATTTAAGCTAAATAAATGTATCTACAATGACATTTTCTTCCTATATTTTTCTTTAATCACTAGTTTCTGGTCACTTCCAATATCGATTGTTCAATTCCCATCCTCTTTTCTTTTGTGCTCTCCCACCATTTGACGGACATTACATCCCAAGGACTCCAAGAAGCAACAAAGGAAGAGAGCGAAGAAAGATCGAGAAGAACCCTTTAAGGCAGAAAGTCATGGGACTGTCGAAGGGATCATTCGCTAGGGAAATCAGCACAAAATCTAGACCCTTTAAATGTCTGAGTAGTCTAATGCCAATGAAGGATTCATCTAGGTGCAAAACCAAGACTTTTGCTTGCAAAACAATCTTAATTTTGCCGGACCATGAAATTGATTGGAATAATACAAAAAAAGCAAAAGGAAAGAAACAAAAGTTATATGGTGTGATGGCCCCACAGACCGATTGATGATCAAGACCTCTTCCAATGACCAATTGTATGCGTGGTCCTGCATGGCTTACCGGACGAACCATGACTTGGAAATGATGCGATTGTCGTGGTTCGTCATCCTTAGAGAGACTACGGCATTTCTCCACGGCTCAATTTGATCGATTACAATCTATGTGGTCATATCTCTACCCTAATTAGAAAGTGCAAACCAGGATGGGAGGAGAGCGTGGGTGAGAGATGGCTAGGGTCTCAGCTCCCTATAATAAGCATATGACCAGCAAGTTCTTGTCATCATTCTGGCAAAGGTGCCTCTCCATTAAATGTTGCCTCCTACTAAGTGCCATCATCTATGGTTTGATGTCAATTATAAAATTGATTTTTTAAGTAAGTATGGCAAACAAGCAGACGAGAATATGAAGAAAACCTTAGTTAGCTTCCTATTTTTACATGCTCAAAGATGAGACGTTTTGTGAACGTATTGAACTCAACCACCCTGTTTTGGCCCCTATATTCATTACTTCCATCCCACCTCCCCCAGAAGATGTGTAGCCTCTTTTCTTTAAAGAAAGAAAAATGACTTTCAACATGCGCAGAAAACCCATGCAGAAAATCGCTAAAGCATATGTCTACAAGGGATGAAGTCGTCGAATATAATGTAGTTCCATGCATACCTGACCTACATTGTACGATAATGTATAACTTTTAAAGACCAAGTTTTCCAGAAGACGAGGCGAGTCAAAGCTCTTTAACCCTCAACGATCAGCATAAAAAATGACGAATAAGAAGTCCGTTCATCCAGTATTTAGGAGGTTGAAAGTGGTAGCCGGTCCGGTGGGTGTGCTTCACTGGGACAGCATGGAGGGATGGATACTTCATGTGGCGCCTGTCTTCAACCCCAACCTCGCAAGCCCCTCCCATGGGAAGCCCCTTGTCAATGCAAGTCTGATTGTAGCCATAGGAGAACTGTGCACATGGCCCTATGTCCACTTTCTTAATCGGTTTCTCCTCAAGCTCCCTCGCAACTGATGTTTCTGAGATACACGAGAATGCAAGAAATCTCACCAATCAAAGCAAGACATCCCCACAACAACTAGTCTTTTTTTTTTTGGGGGTCGATCCACGACAAATAGTTAAACAATTTGTCTTCTAGGTCTCAACCGAGGTCTAAACTGAAACAGAACGAGCCCCATGAAGGGTTATGAAGCAGAAGCTAGCATTACCTGTGAAGCATTACCCGCCCTCGAACCACGCAATGATCGGACGCTGGCGTTGATGCTGGGTTTAGGGATGACGAGGGGTTGTCGTCGAGCTTGGTCCACTTGTGGAAGTACGAGTCGGAGGCATTGGCAAGGACGGCATAGTTCTGGACCTGGTGGTACTGGGTGTCCCTGCTGGTGTAGAGGATGACAGGGCGGTTACCCGGGAGGATGGTGACGGACCCGGACCAGCACCCGTTAATGTCGAAGGACTTGGTCGGGTAGATGGCCGGAGGGAGGGCCTATCGGTTAACCAGGTCCTTGGACATCGAGTGGGCGCACACTATGTTGCCCCACACCACCCCTTTGGGTGTGTATTGGTAGAAGAGATGGTACAATCCACTATAGTACATGGATACTGCTCAATTCAATCATTTGATTTCACTCATATAGAGGCAAAATATGATTAATGTAGTGTGGAACGGTTGCAAAACTTAAATAGATTAAAATTAGGGAGAAAGGAAAAATGGGATGTTCATAAATTTAATGTCCTCAACAATGCGATAGAATCAAGTTAACAATTGAATGAGAAATTTTCACATCCTATAAGAATATGACACATCAATGTGTACATTAGATTTATGGACTAATCTTAGTATCTAGTAAGCAATAAGCAACATCATTCAAAGAGACATATGCAAGAAAAGTTGGTTGAGGAAATTACCATTTGGACCTGCCGTATCATCTACAATTTGATGACCATTTTCCTTTTAAAGTCATTATAAAATTGATTTTTTTGGCTACATATGGCAAAAAAACATATGGGAATATAAAGAAAACCTTAGGCCCCATTTGTTTTGCGAAAAATAAATGGTTTGGAAAACATTTTCCTAAAATAATTGCTTTTATCAATTAGTTAATAAAAAATATTTTCATTATCGACAACAATTTATACATAAATATTTTAGTGGAAGATAAAAATATTTTTCGTTTATTCTTACTCGTAAGTAATCACTTTTAGGAAAATATTTTCTAAATTCGTTCATTTTTCGCGAAATAACGCACCCTTAATCAACATCCTATGTTTACATACTCGAAGATAAAGGGGGAGCGTTTTATATTTTGTGAACATATTGAACTCAACCACCCTGTTTTGGCCCATATATTCATTGCTTTTATCCCACCTCCCCCGGAAGATGAATAACCTATTTTCTTTGAAGAAAGAACAATTGAAGAAAAATAACTTTAAAAATACGTAGAAAACCCATGCAGAAAACCGCTAAATCAGATCTCTACAAGGGATGAAGTCGTCGAATATAACGTAGTTCCATGCATACCTGACCTTGCATTATACGATAGTGTATTGTGGAAGACTTTTAACGACGAAGTTTTCCAGAAGACAAGGAGAGTCAAAGCTCTTAACCTTAAACAATCAGCATCTAAAACGATGAATAGCACCAAACAGATGAAACACCCAAAAAGACATAAAAGAAGAACGTTGATCCAGTGTTTAGGAGGGAAAACTGTCCAAAAAGTCTTAAAGATATTGCATTTCTGTCAATCCATTCCTAAACCTTTTAATTTTGTCAATTAAATCCTAAATCTTTTCATATTTTGCCAATTGAGTTCATCCGATCAATTTTGATCGGAAATCGCTGACGTCGCAGTTCAGTCAACGCCAGCCATCCTACGTGGCATAACTAACGACAGCCGGCACTGACGTGAATAAATTTTAATAATTTTTTATATTTTTAAAATTTTTATTGATTTTTTTACTTTTTTTCTTTTTTTTTTTAGTTCAAAGTGGCAAAGTGCTAACGACCTCCGTCGGCCATTGGACGAGGGCCAGCAACCCCCACCGGCCTTTGGGTGAGGCCCACAAAGCCCTCGCCGCAGCCAGGGGCTGGGGTCATGGCCCTAGCCCAGGCCCTCGCCAAGCCTAGCGAATCAAGGGCGTGGCGGCCCTCACCAAGGCCTGCAAGGGGTCGCCTGCAGCCCTTGCCTGCCCTCATTGTGGCTAGAGGTGTCAAGCTCCACACGTGTTATTCGTAAATCGTATGCTCAATTGGAATTCAAAGGGTTAACATGGTGAATATAGGAAAACAGGCAGGTCTTTGTAGATAAATCGAGGGAAGGAGGTAAATCGTCAAACTTGAGGACTAAAATGAAAAATTAGACAGAAAGAAGTGGGGAAATCTGTAATTTTCCCTGCCATAGCCACTGGCGCGGTCAACAGGAATCATCATCGTGGGGATAAAGAAAAGACAGCTCAGAAATAAAACTCTAGTCCTTAGAACAAGTGGGCAAATCATGCATCGACAACAGAGCGCCATGGAAAGAGAAGTTGCAATTGCACCACCATACTGCAAAAATGGAAATCTTCAACACCTTGTCATCTACAATCGAATTTGACAAAGAGATCTAAACCAACATCTTGTTTCCCACATAACCTATGCAAACAGAAAAGATAAAGGAAAAAATAGTTTTTCTTATCTACCCCTAAACATTATATATAGCACCAGCATAATGTCACAATTCAACCCCACAGAGAGAGGGAGACAGGTGTATCAAATCCCTAATGGACTCAAAGACCATCGCCAGGAACTGGGCCGAGGGCCCTCATCTCTTGGGAGGTCTCTCATCATCGACATCGCTGTCCTCAGAATCATCATCATCCTCCTCCTCATCGTCTCTATCTGCCCTCTTCCTCTTCGTGGGCGGATCCTCCACCTTGCCACCGCCATCTTCATCCACCTCCTCCTCTTCTTCCACTCCATCCTCTTCATCCTCGACCTCATCGTCTTCCTCAATGTCTTCTTCTGGCTCCAACCCGTTCTCATGTTGCTCCAGGTAGTCGCTGTTATCTTCGTCCTCGTCCTCAGCGCGACTGAGCGGCCTGACCACATACTGTGCTCCACTATCCTCCTGCAGTTCCACCATTCCCAAAATTATATTGAGATGTCTTTAGGGCTTATAAAGATGCAGTTCAATGAGATCACAGGCCAAAGAAACAAGTGCTTTCAGGAAGATCTTGAGACAAGAACACATAATTGGATCAGGTCACACAGAATCGAGACCTAAAGCCATTGGGGTTGGGGTTCTTTTGGGGGTCCCCTCACTCTAAATGCCTAAAGCAAGGACCCGCATAAGTAGGTCCATAATAAAAATTAAAAATACAAACTTTAACAGAAAAAAAAGGGACTATCCATGCTCCGGGTAGAAACGTAAATTGGCTTCGATCTCTAGGGGACTACAAGGTCTATCAGAGCAACATGTGTACATTAAATTTGATGTGATAACATGTAAACATGTAATACTAAAGTTTACACCTATCATGAAAGCAAAGGAGACAACATAGTTCTATGGTACCGCAACAGAAAACAAGACAAAAGATAGATGCACCAACATGACCAATGTAAATTCAACAATCGAACCCACAACATCTACTCAAGAATTCATTCAGCAACAACCCCAACGACAACAACACATGTGACAACCTATCCTTACTTACTAGTGTCAATAGTTGGCACTCATCACTTATAACATTTGACAATCGACCTCCAAATGGGTGGAACCAAGAAGAAGAATAACAAGAAATTCCAATTCTTTCCATCACACAAAAGGACCCCAAAAAACAAACAGAGGAAGTGAAAACCTGATGACATGTACCTCATTTCTACTCAGGCAACACAAAACAAGAGAGACCCACGAATTTAAACAAACACCCAGAAAGGAGCATATCAAGAAAACATCAACAGCGCACGCAGGACATCGGAACTCAAGAGCCGATCCACCCCACGATCGTCATCTAGATCTGGAGAAAAACCCAGTTGCTCAGTCAGACGGAAAACCCAAGTCCCATATCTTCTTCACCATTTGAGGTAACAGAAAACCCTCCTCTAGATCGACAACCGACACGACAGTTTCAATCTCAATCTCTTCAATCACAGTTTTTTAGTTTCCAGGAAGCACCCGATCTTGAGCAGTAAGTATAAATCAGAACGAATCTTGAGTAAAGAAGGGATTTCAACTAAGATTTAGATTCCTGTCGTTTCATACCTCCTCGTCGGCCTCTTCATCGTCGCTCTCATCCTCGTCCTGGTCATCGTCGTCGTCGTTGCCGATGCCGATGCCGATGCCGATGCCGATGCCGTTGCCGTTGACGTCGCCTTCGCCTTCCTCTTCGACATCGTCGTCGTCGTCCACGGAATAAACAGGCGGAGGCCCGCGGGACGACTGCAGAACCTCCTGCACAACATCAGCCTCGTCCTCGTCGTCATCATCCTCGTCGTCCTCTCCGTCGTCGTCGTCCTCGCCGTCGTCTTCATCGCCATTCTCTTCCTCCTGACTCTGCACCCCATCTTCCTCCTCCTCCTCATCGTCTTCGTCCTCATCGTCTTCCCTCAACACGATGACTTCGTTATCCTCTCGGACCTCAACCACCGGCTCGTCGGACCTCATGTCCACGATCTCCTGCACATCGTCGTCGTCCTCGTCCTCGTCCTCGTCGTCGTCGTCGTCGTCGTCATCCTCATCGTCCTCCTCGCCGTCGTCCTCGTCGTCCACGACGGCGCGCCCGTCTTCTCCGCCGTTCGCTTCCTCCTGGCTTTGCACGCCGTCCTCTTCCTCCTCCTCTCCATCCTCCTCGTCGTCGTCCTCCTCGACGGCGGCGGGGGGGACGCCGTCCTCCTTCACAACCCTAACTTTCTCGTCCTCCTCGAACTCGATCTCCTCCTCCTCCTCGTCGGAATTCATCGCCGCAACCGCGACCTCGCCGCTCGCCGATGCGAGATTCCGGTGATCCCTCGGCTCGATTCCGGGCAAAAACGAACAGAAAATCTCGAGAAAATGGCCAAAAAAAAATGGGGAAAAAATTTTTCTGGGCGAGGAGGAGCTTCTTCGATTGTTCTCGAGCAGGGTAGCTCTGCAACGCCGATCTGGGCCGTCGGATCCGCGTCGGTCCGGATCGGTGACGTGGCGATGGATCGGACGGTGTGGGTTGGGGGATTTGTTTTTCCTTCGGGGCACTGATCGAGGCGCTCGCGCTCCTTCGTTTTCCACTTTTTTTTAGTAGACGCGTCTCCCGGTTTGCCTCTTTGCGTCACGTGCCCGTCACGTGCCGATCCGGGGTTGCCTCTCTCCTGCCCGCATTGCTGGGCACGGGTCTAGGGTTTTCCTCGCGCCGTTGGATCGCGCGCGGTTCATCTGGGCCGTTCGTCGGCCCAAAGGACGGTGATCCAGCCCAAAGCGTTCCCTTTTGGTTATATGGGGTTCTGGGCCCATGCCACTATGGCAGGGTGAACCCCCAATGAATATCGACCGTTGATTTGGCTACCCGAGTCATTCAACGGCTGTGATCGATGCGGTTCACAGTATCGGCGCGCCTAGTTTGTCCGTGGAGGAAACTCGCGTTCCACGGAGTCCGTGATATTTAGGCAGACATGGGCAGGGCACCGACCGCAAGTTCGCCGTTCAATCGGTCGGGTCCGCTCAATCCCGCCGTTATCGAGTGCATAGTGCACATTGACATGGAGAACATGTAAATCTCGGGGATGCACACGGAGGTCTTGGGCACGGTTGGTCATACTTTTGATTTTTCCTAATCATGGGTCCGGCGGCTCTTGAGCCCGGCCGGTTCGATCTAGTCTCGAGCGAGGGATCTAGTTACGAGGCCCGGCTCGGCCAGGCACGCCCGATATGAAACTCTTTCCGGGTGCCCGTCCGACGAACACTTCTACTTCACATCATCGAATCAATTTCACCTACTCGACAAAAAGAAAACGACATTTCCTGCGAAAAAAACAAAAAAAAAAAGAAGCTCTCTTTGGTTGTCTCTCCTCGAGAGGAATTTGGCCTTCCTTAAAGGCACATGCAAAATCTGTCGTCTCTTTGGATTTTGTCCACTCGAGTTCCGTTGCGTAAGGCAATTTGAGTCTCCATCTCGTCCGGCACACACATGACGGGAAGAATCCAGAGACGGGAGCGAGATTGACATCGACGTGACATTTGGACACGTTTATTTCGCCAAAAAAATAAACTATTAAAAAAACATTTTTTTTTTAAAAATGATTATTCATACCATTTATAAAAATAAATAAATATAAATATTTAAATGTAAATTATTATCAATAATATTACATATACGATTATTTTTCTGCTGAAGAAATGAAAGTTCAAGACGGAGGTGAGAAATATGGAAAAAAAATCTGGCGTCAATGAAGCAGGGCCCTACTACACGACAAAAAGCCCTCCATGCCCTTTTGTCGACACCCCCTCGTGGTTATTCTAATCCCACGCTTCTTATTAAAACGATTAGCGTGTGTTGGCAAACTCAAAGATGATTAACCTAACGTTTTAACGACTTCCTTCTATTATTTTTTTGGTTTGTTTGCCTTTGGAAAAGTCAGAAGAAGCAATCCAAATGATTGAAATTCTTCGTTTGCACCCCCAAGACAATCAATACCAAAATTAGCACGACTGGGTCGAAATTCCACTTTCTTGGAGCTTAATCTCGATACCCAATTTCTAGACCTTCCGTCTCGGACTCGAACCGACGATATTATCCAAGTAACTTGCTTGAGCAGCTTTCGAAAAGCACTTACACCCGCAACTGATGATAATGATATAACATCATTGATATGCGACATGTACTTTTCATTTAATTGCAAGCATCCATGGTCAGATAATATCGTAAAATTCGTACCTAACCACCTTGTCCTCGCATGTGCCGTGCACCTAATTTTCCTAGCGAATATGCCACGATGGATTTGTTAGTTATAATCCGAAAAACAATAATTTCTCTATGACTACTGTTTAGAATCAACATTAGCTCCATCATGCAGTCGAGTAAAATAAAACCATTCCCAATTGACCAAACTACCTCAAATTCTACCCTCCACGCACATATTACTTGGTGATCAACATTGATTTTGTCACCTAATTAATTAATTCATTCATTCATTCCTCATTTACACCTAATTTTCAATTACACCCCACCTAAATTGTTTGGTCAAAAGATATTTTCATATTCATTTTTATCTTCTCCCCCAATATTTATAAAGTCATCTATTATTTATTCCCCGACAAATTCGCAATCATTTAATTCCTCCCTATCTACCTCCCTCACCAAACACTCGGAGGCGCGAGAGACATAAGACCGGTGGCCGGATCAGGCGCGACCGGCGGCATCCCCAGCCCGATGTGCCCGCGGTGGTCGGCGGCGGCGGCCTCCTTCCGGTGGCCGGGATTCGACTTCTCGCTGCCGGCGTTGGTCTTCCGGTGGCCGGGTTTCGACTTCTCGCACCTCACGGCGGGGAGCTTCCGGCTGTTCGACTTCGTGGTGGACGACGTGCTGTGGGCGGTCATCACGGTGCTGGAGTCCCTCGCCCTCGCCGCGATGCTCTGCTTCTTCTTCGTCTTCTGCGGATGCACCCTCTGACTCGCCGCGCGTGCGCGCGTGTGTATATGCTGTGTGGCTGTGAATTGATGTTTCCAGGAACGTTCACTGGTGAATCTAAGAATTTTCATGGGAAAAATTTTCACGATCGGTTGAGATTGTGCTTGCCTTTGAGCTCGTAGTTTCGGTGTCGCTCAGTTGTTCGACTGAATGCGTGAACGAGAAGGGTTCACCGCCGGAATCTGGTCGTGCGATTCACGGTTTCTGGGGATTATGCGGCGTTCGATTCGGTTTCGTTTCGGATTCAATCGATCGGAAAATCGAAAGGCTTTTCGCGAATCGATACGAAATTCCGGTTGCAAGAATTGGTGCATGATTAGGAATGAGAACCTCAGCCTCCATTCTCTCTGTTCTTATTGATTATCATCTTCTTTTCCTGTATACATAACCCAATGGTTACTTCTGCCTTGCAAAACATTACATTTTCCCAAGTAGCTTTAGGATTGGGATTATCGCACGCGATTACTGAGGCAGGACACACCGACAAGCCGGCATCGTTCGATTTGTGTCGAACCGGTCCCGTCGACGGTCTCGCTAAGCCTCCACGAGTGGGTCTCGGCGTTGCGGTTTCGGGCCGCGATAAGGTTGTCCAAGAGGAGGGCAAGGCTTTTAATTGTCCCCATTTGTTGCTGTGCTTGTTAGCGCTACGTAAGATTGAGCTGTGTGACCTTTCTCGAGCACGTCACGCACGAACTTCTGCTGGCCCGAAAATGGGCACAATTGTCCAAAAAAAAATCGTAAATTTATTGTATCACTGCTAATTCAACTCTAATTTTTTTTAATTTGGCTAATTTACTTATTATTAATACCACGAAAAACTCCAAGCCGCTACATCTACGATAAATTTACCAAAAACTAATTATTTGACCATTAAAAATCTTAAATCGGTACATATGCGATAAATTTACCTTAAACTAATTTTTAAACCATCAAAAATTCCACACTGGTTGACAAATTTACCCTCCATTAGTTTCCGTTAAATTGGATTAATACCACCAAAAAAATCATAAACCGATACACCTGTGACAGACGAAGGGTAAAACCCCAAACCGATACACCTGTTAATTGTCACGTGTCATCTAATTCAACAATTTGACGGTAAATTAACGGAAATTAACGGAACGTAAATTTGTCAAAGGTATACAAGTTTGAGGTTTTTCATGATATTAACCCATTTAGTTATAAACCTTTGGAAAAATACCACCAAAAATCCCAAACTATGCCACTTGTAACAAATTTACCCTTGAATTTTTTTTTTTTAACACGAAAAACCTCAAACTATGCCACTTATGACACATTTACCCCAATATACCGTGGCCGGCGGAGTGAAGAGAGAATAAAAGAAAAAAAAAAAGGAAAAAGACGAAAATGCCCATGGGCCAAAGTATTGTAGGTAAATGTGTCATAAGTGGCATAGTTTGGGGTTTTTCGTGTTACAAAAAAAAATTCAGGGTAAATTTGTCACAAGTGGCATAGTTTGGGGTTTTTAGTGGTATTTTCCCAAAACCTTTTGATGGTTTTCCAAGGTAATCATGCTGGGTAAATTTGGTTGGAAATTGCTGACATGATGATTCAGTCAATGCTAGCTGTCATACGTGGCAAAGTCCTCGTTGACTTGGACAATTTTTGTAAGTTTTTTTTTAATTTTCTTATTTTTTTGGTTTTTTCTTTCATTTTATTTTCCTTCGCATTTTATTTTTTCTTGTTTTACCTATTTCCCTCTTTGGTCATCAGGGCCTCAGCGGCCCGTGCCTATGGCCATTGACCGGTAGAGGGAAATAGGAAAAGTAAGAAATTAGAAAGAAAATATAAGAAAGAAAAATTACGGAAAATCTCAGCAATTTCCAATCAAAATTGATCGAAAAGAATAAATTAAAAAATCACCAAAATGTCTAAAATCAAATTGACCAAATTAAAAAATCAATAATTGAATTTGATGGCATTCAATAAAGTTAGGACTTTTCAGATAACTTTCTCTCAAATAAAAATGTTCTAGTCAAGGATGGACAACTTTTGAGCTTTCTTGCCCATGTGACGGAGAGTTTGTCCTAATGGTACAATTTGCCGCATGGAGTGGCTGATGGAGAGAGATCAGGAGGTGCCATGTGGCCCCAGAGCAGCTCACGAAGCCTCACCATTGTTCCAAGGATGGAAACATGATATAACCTCGATAATCGGGGCTGTTTTGAATTCTTGGTATTGGTTACCAAGGGTTTCTCATCAAAATTGGGGAAGCTGAAGCTTCTGATTAGGACCATCCTGCATGTCCAACTTGTATGTCTGTGTTTCTTATTTTAACATACCGGTATTTGCACGCCTAATCTCCCTAGTTGGGAGATAATTTTTCTTTCGTCACCCTAGGGAATACTCCCGTGTTTAACGCCCTAGAGTTCAAACGGAGTAGTTTTAGGACTTGCTTAGGTCCAACACGTCGAACAATACTTGTCACCTTTCTGTTATCGAAAAGTTATTGTTGGGAAAATTCATTCTTCGATCGACATATTCAAAACGTATTCGATCAACGCGGAAAACGTGCCCAATAATCATTAACTTGTATTACCGATCGTACAGGCATATCACATAATGAACATACCCGGCATTGCCATAGATTAAATGCCACTTTACACATGAGAGTAATCTTCAATTGTTTTTGTACCCATTTACGTTCCGAAGGAAAAACAGAGAAGATATTATATTGAAGATGTGTGTTATTTCACATATGTGAAAAATCACGTTGTTTTTCCAAGATGGTCTACTATTTATAGAAAAAACAAATAACCACCTTGTGGGCCTTGTGGTTCATGGCCGGGTTTGGCCCATCTTGAGCGGTCCACCCATTATGTTTTTCCGTTATCATGCATAGTTAGAAAGTATGATCCAAAAACTTAAATTGATAGAGAGAGAGAGAGACCACATAGAACCTATTATCGAGCATCGTGGGACAATATCTCAATACCCATTCTCAAGTGCAAGCCGAATTAGGAGTAGTAGAATTTTATCGAATGGAGTGGATGCACACGTGCGAAAGGGATAACGCTAGCTCTAATACCGTGTTAGAAAGTCCAACCCAAAAACTTAAACTGATAGGTGAAGAGAAATCACATAAGACCCATTGAAAGATATATCTATAAGGATGATCCGACAATAACCTCTCGGAGCCGCATCACCATCCCTAGCACGGGCGATGACAAGATGAGTACGATATTAATCTTCAAACCGAAGTTGTCGTTGCTATTCGAGATTGACAATGGTCTTGCCCTGCAGCTATCTTGCTCTGCAGCTATCTTGCTCTAGTGATTTCAGTGGGGATGGCGCTTGGAATGCTCTTAGACATATAGAGGAATTAAAGGTGTACAGGATCCTCGCCGCGCAGATCGTCCTCACCACCATCGTCTCCTCCGTTACCGTCCTCTGCACCCCCATCAACGGGGAAAATTATCAAATTAGTCCTAAACCTACTGTACGACGGCCAATTCAGTCCTAAACCTTTTAAGTTTGCCAATTCAGTCCTAAACCTTTTAAATTCTTGCCAATTGAGTCCTTCCGGCCAATTTTGGCCTGCCAAAGCTGACGTGGCAGCCGGGCGGCGCCGGGCGTCCGGTCAACACTGACGTAGCAATTTTTAATTATTTTTTTTTAATTTTTTAATCTTTTTTTTCTTTTTCTTTATGCTTTCTCCCATATGGCCTGTCCGGCAACCGGCGGCCAGCGGCCGGCCAGAGGGGAGGGCCGGCGAGGGCAAGCCTCGCCGACCCCTGGCTGGGCGAGGCGAGGCGAGGTCGAGCCTCGCCGTCGCCTGGGTCGCGACAACGAGGTCGAGCCTCGCCCAGATTTGGTGAGGCTCGACCTCGCCGTTGCGACCCGGGCGATGGCGAGGCGAGGCGAGGCGAGGTCGAGCCTCGCCGTCGCGACCCAGGGCGACGGCGAGGCTCGACCTCGCCTCGCCGTCGCTGGGTCGCGACGGCGAGGTCGAGCCTCACCCGGATCCGGCGAAGCTCGACCTCGCCGTCGCGACCCAGGCAACGGCACGGCGAGGCGAGGCGAGGTCGAGCCTCGCCAGATCTGGGCGAGGCTCGACCTCGCCGTCGCGACCCAGGCTACGGCGAGGCTCGATCTCGCCTCGCCCCGCCCAGCCAGGGGCTGGCAAGGCTTGCCCTCGCCGGTGGCCGGCGGGGCGAGCTTCGCCAGAGGCCTCGCCGGCCCTCCCCTCTAGCCGGTCGCCGGACCAGCCAGAGGGGAGAAAGCAGAAAAAAAAGAAGAAAAAGAAAAAAAAAGATTAAAAAATTGAAAAAAAATAATTAAAAATTGCCACGTCAGCGTTGACCGGACGGCCGGCGCCGGCCGGCGGCCGGCGGCCACGTCAGCGCCGGCCGGCCAAAATTGGCCGGAAGGACTCAATTAGCAAGAATTTAAAAGGTTTAGGACTGAATTGGCCGCCGTACAATAGGTTTAGGACTGATTTGATAATTTTCCCCCATCAACGACCTCCTCCTCAGGAACTCTGGCCTCTTGCTCTTCCCCATGTTTCTCCCCCTTATCTGAGTGCGATCGCTTCAGATCTCACGATATCTGTTTCTACTGATGTTTGGCTTTTCTTTTCGTGCATATTTGGTGTGTGATTCAGTGAAAACTGCCTCATTTTGTCGCGATTCGTGAGTGGCGATGCCATCGGTGTTTCATTGAGTTATGCGGCTGATTTCGGGGAATTGTTTCTGATTGATTGGGCTCGGTGTAGGTGGATTTCATGTAGAGCAGGGAATTGGATTTTGATGGGGTTTTCTGATGGTGGTGGTGTTGTTGCAACTATCAATGTTCTTCTGTGTCTTTCTGGTGTATTTTTGTATTTGGTGTTGTTGCAACTAATATTTTTTTTCGAATTATTTATTTTCTTTTTGCATATTTTTCCTTCCCTTTTTCTTTCCGGTTGCCGGACCTCGGTGACCGGCTAGAGGCTAGGGTTGGCGAGGTCTAGGGCAAGCCTCACTGGCCACTGGTGAGCCTCACCCTTGCATGATTTGTCAAGGGTCGAGCCTCACCGGCCATGGGTGAGGCTTGCCCTCACCTTGCCAGTGACGGCGAAGGCGAGCCTTACCATGGTAGGGCAAGGCATGACCTTGTCGAATCTGGCGAGAAAGGGCCTTGCCCATGGCCGGCGAGGGCGAGCCTCGCTAGCCCAATGCGAGGCTGCTCTTGTGGCCATTTGGTGACCTGCTAGAGGAAGGAGAAAGGGAAGGAAAAAAAAAGAAAATAAAAAATTTGAAAAAATATTAAAATATTAGTAAAAGTTATCAACATTAACACCAGGCGTCACGTCAATAATATCATGCCAAAATTAGGTGGAATAATTGAATTGGTACCATATCAAAAAATTTAAAAAGTTTATAGTGGTTGAATTTCTACAAAACCTCATTTACTACAAAGCATGAATGTTTTCTTTGATATATAAATTTATGCTCTAACTTTCATTTTGACAGTTGAAATCTGACTTTTATTTGATATTGAAGACATTGAGAATTGTTACTTTTTAAAAAAAGGATATTTTCATTTACGATAAAGTCGTTATTATTAGTTTTTTTCATAATTTCGTTTATTTTTGTTTTGAGTGATAGTTAAAAAGAGTTTTTGAGGGCTTGGCCCTTGAATTTGCCGGACGTGTGGCAAATTAATTTCCATCTTTCAGCACATTGATTTCTTTCCTCAATTTCTATCTTTCTGAGATTAATACCACGAGTTTCCGTTAAATTTTACTGTTAAATTGCTGAATTAAATGACACGTGACATTTAACAGGTATACTAGTTTTGGGTTTTATCCCTCCGTTTGTTATAGGTTTACCAATTTATAATTTTTCGTGATATTAATCCAATCTAATATAGGGTAAATTTGTTACAAGTGTACCAGTTTGAAATTTTTGATGGTCAAAAAATTAGTTTGGGATAAATTTGTCATTGATGTACCAGTTTGGGGTTTTTAATAGTCAAAAAATTAATTTAGAGTAAATTTGTTGCCCAAAATTTTCATGGTATTAACCTATCTTTTTATTTGTCACAAAGATGAACAGCCCCAAAATAACATAACTTTATTATATCTTAATTATATCCCTCCATTTTAAGGAAAAAAATCAGTCAAAGGATGGTCTTTAAATGATGCAGTATTAGGTGTTATGTGTCGGTAAAGATATGGCTCTCAGTATAGAAAGTATCAAACCCTACTAAATTTCTTCCATACGAGGAAGCAAGCTCAACTAGGGGTGTGCAAAGGAATCGGGAACAGCCCGGACCATTTGGAACCGGCGGTTTCCATGAGGACCGGTCCGGTTCCCGGTTTTAGGCGTGGAACCGCCCACCCGCACACCCGGATTAGACCGGTAATATATATATACATATATATAATTTTTTTAAAAAATTCCAACAAAAAAAAAAAAGAAAACATTTTTAGAAAAATGAAAACCATAAAATCCCTAATCTAAAGCTCGATTCTCAACTCCTATCAACTCACGGCCGCACTTTTAGCCATTCATCACCACCTTCTCTCACTCTCGGTCACCTCTATTTGTGTAAAACTTGGTGGAACGGGTTCCATGGACCCACCTGGTAACCTGACCGGACCGCCGGTCCGATTCCTGGGTGGATCCATGGAACCGACGGGCAGTTCCCGGTTCCAATTTTTCGGAACCGATTCTCAGTGGGCGGTTTCCGGTTCCATGTCGGGAACCACCCGCCCGGACCACACTCACCCCTAAGTTCAACCTCCATTTAAAGCATCAACTAGCACACAATTCTACATAGAAAGAGTTCATTTCCTTACTATCCTCTTCCAAAACCTCATCACCATCATCATCTCCTTCTGAAAAAAAACTCCAGTAATATGAAGACTCCAGTGCTCTTCGCGCTCCTCTCGTTCGCTCAAATTCTTCTCGTTGCCTTCCTCCCATTTGCATCTGCCGGCCTTGTCGACGACACATGCAAGAAGACACCGTACAGCCACTTCTGCGTCTCGGCTCTCAGGTCCGACCGCCGGAGCTCCACCGCGGACACCCCAACCTTAGGCCTAATCATGGTCGACAAGGTTGACGCAAACGCCAAGTCAAGTCTGGCCAAAATCAAGGACTTGCTCGGCAAAGCCCCCCACCCGGGGACGAAGCGGGCGTTGACCTCTTGCAGGGAGTCATACCAAGCTACCAGAAGCGCGTTCGTGCCCTCGAGCAAAGAAAGTTTGACAAAAGGCGACTACAAGTTTGCCGTGGAGTACATGAACAGCGCGGCGAGTGACGCATCCGACTGCGAAGCGGGCTTTGGAGGCTCGAAGTCGCCGTTATCGGACTTGAACAATTATGAGCACAAGGCAGCCTCAGTGGCTTCGGCCATTGCCAGTTCACTGCTGTGAGCACTGATGATCAGTGAGATGGTTTGTTGGATTAATAAAGGTAGAAGAAGAAATGTTTAGCTCGGAAGCAAAATGAAAAATGTACCGTAATGAATTGTTAATGAAAGTGCAGTTTTTGTTTGATAATTGGCTTTACAAGCCCCCATCTCTTTTGGAATTTGCTTTGTTTAATCCTATTTTCTACTAGTTAAATTAAAATCGGTTCGTTTTGACCCCAAAAAAAAAAACGGTTGTGCACGGGATGCGGCAAAACAAGCGAATCCGTGGAACAAATTTTCAAAATTGTGACACATGGAGAAACAAGCGAATCCGTGGAACAAATTTTCAAAATTCAAACGTAGAGTTGGTTTGAATACGTCACTTACACAATGTTATTGATCAGTTTACACTGCGTTAGTCATGATACATCATATGCGTTCTGCTTCCTGTGTGCACCAAAGCGCGTACGTGAGGGACAACCGTCTAACTCGGTAGGCTTGAATAGACATACTCAGAAGTATTGAATGGGTCGTCTTGGTTTCAAGGTGTCTGAGTTATGGAAGTGAAAGCATCAAACTTTCGAGCAAGCTTTAATAAGGTGATTTTGTTATGTACACATAAAGTACAGTATCACCTTTGATAGTGGCACCAACACGCAAAAGATCATATACACCTCATCGATCAAAAGGTAGATATACTTTTGCAAATTATAAACAAAGACAACATGATTGTTTTTTTTTTGGTAAGGTAAGTATTGATATAACTTTTCAACGCAATATACAAAGAGTAGACGAACACAAAAAACCCCGCACAAGAAGAGACACAGAAGTGTGTCCCGACTGGTGCAAGGGTGTACCGACTAGCCAACGTAAAGCAGCAACACAAGCGTTGCAAAACAAGGCCTAAACCTATTGCACTTTTGCCAATTCAGTCCTAAATCTTTTAAGTCTGCCAATTCAGTCCTAAACATTTTCACTTCTTTTCAATTCAGTCCTAAACCTTTTCATTTCTTGCCAATTGAGTCCATTTGGCCGGCCGGCGCTGACGTGGCCGTCTGGCCAACGCTGACGTGATAATTTTTAAATATTTTTAAATATTTTTTTTTCTTTTTTTTCTAGCCTTTTCACTTTGGCCGGTTCGGCGACCGACCAGAGGTGCGGCCTCGCCGGCCTCTGGCGAAGCTCGCCCTCGCTAGCCACCGGCAAGGGCGAGCCTCACCCGCTGCTGCAAGGCCGGGCTCTCCTCGGCTGGGCGAGGTCGACCTCATCGTCACTGGGTTTCAACCTCGCCCCGCCATGGCGAGGCCGGCCTCGCAACGGTGGGCGAGGCTCGCCCTCACCGGTGGTCGGCGGGGGCGAGCTTCGCCAAAGGCTGGAGAGGTCGACCTCGCCGGCCCGCGCCTCTGGCCGGTCACCGGTCGCCGGACAAGCCAGAGGGAATAGGCAAAAAAAAAAAAGAAAATATATATATTAAAAAAATATTTAAAAACTTTCACGTTAGCGTTGGCCGGATGGCCGGGGGCCACGTCAGCGCTGGCCGGCCAAATGGACTGAATTGGCAAGAAATGAAAAGGTTTAGGACTGAATTGGCAAAAGTGCAATAGGTTTATGACTTTTTTGACAATTTTCCCTATAAAAAACACATAAGGGATAAATGCAGCAATCGCCTCCATGCGATTAGGGCTGTGGAACATGATACACACGTAAAAGAGTAGTTGTCTGTGTATCTCTTGTAAATAGTCCAACTAAAAAAAGTCCTAGACCTATTCCAAGCACATTTGTATCCAATAGAGGGGTATGCATGTTTATTTCATGAAAATGTTAATGCCCTAACCTTATTAGCCTTGTAGAGAGTAGATAGCCTTCGAGTCTTCAAGGGTTTTAATGACTTCAAAGCTCCGAATCTATATAGATATAACAGTTTATTCTATAAAAGGGCTTGGCCCATTATGGGACAAGACATTGAGGATCTATCATGGAATTCTTCTCATAAAAAAGAATGCTAAAATCTATATATTCTTCATTGATCTCTCTTGTACCGAAGGTTCTTAATCCTTGCTACCTCAAGGATTTCAGACGCATTTCATGTTGTAATATTTAGTATAAGATCATATCAAAGTCACTTGCAGAAAGAATAAGTTGCATTCTCCCTTAGGTTGTCAGCCTCAACCAAACTGCATTCATCAAGGGATGATAGATTGCGGAGAATATTTTATCGTGCCAAAATCTCTTACACAACTGTCATAAGGGTGGCAAAGGTAAACATGTGGCACAAAGAACTACTCACTTATGCTTCACAGATGATTTGTTCTTTTTTGCTCACAAGGATGCAAATTCCGTCCAATGCCTTGGTGATGCACTTCATGAATTCGCAACTCTCATAGGACTGCCGGTTAACTCAGACATATGTTAAATCTTTTTCTTTGGATGATCGAGGATTTAAAGCTCCTTATATTGGGTCACACACATTTCTCCACATGTACCTCCGTATTGATATCTTGGTGTTCCCCTTGTTACTAGAAGGCTCACACATGCAAATTGCAAGAGTCCAGCTGACAATATCTTTAAGAAAATCGAAGGATGGGACATGAATCATATAAGCTATGTAGGACGTCTCCAGTTGGCCAAATCGGTCATTATCTCCATCCGTAGTACCGGATGCAAATGTTTTTACTTCGAAAGGAGATTATTTACAAGGTTGAGAAGAAGATTAGACAATTTTTATAGGCGGGAAATACCAAAGTTCATCGTATAGAGTTGCATGGCAAGTAGTTTTCTCACCTAAAAGGGAGGGGGGACTAGGGCTACTCGGTATGAAGTCATGGTACAAATTATTACTAGGCTGCACGTTTTGGAACCTCATTAATTATCCAGCCTCTTCCCTATGGAGTAATTGGGTTCATAGCACTAAATGAGAGGCACTATAATTATGCAGCTCGACATTAAGGTAGTATGGCCCAGAGTTGGTGAGGTCTTCTTAAGCTGAGACTTGCTATGACTTCGGCAATCTCTTGCTCAAGGTAGTATTGCAAAGAGATTTATGATGAACTCAAACATGTAGGATCGGTTATGGAGTGATATGACATAATTTGGACCAGCAGTATTAGCAAACACAAATATGTTGGCTAGCTTGTTTGCAAGGTCTTAAAGACAGCAGAAAAACCGTATCACGATGGATGCCTTTAATTGATATTGTAATGTATTCTCGCACTAACATGGGATTTGGTAATCTCTAGGAGGTTAGATTGATGAACTTCAATAGATGATTAGGGCTACTGAGGGCCAAGACTTGGCAACATGGCTTCTTAGCAATTATATATTGCACTTGAATAGAGCGCAACCACAAACATTTTAAAAATAAGTCAACCAATATTCACATTATTTTGGCTAGGATGCATGAAATCGTAAGAGGTAGAGCTTTACTCAACCAAAATTCTAGACCTTCCCAAGCAAATGTTGTATTGACTACTATGTGGAGGTTTCACATCTCAATTTTCTCCCCTAAGCTTCTATACTTCATCTTATTAATGAAACTTTCATTTTCACCAAAACAAAGAGTAAAGAGCCTGTCTTCATTTGACATACTATGGCTAGTAGAAAGGATAAGTTTATGGTGGTTTAATTGCTACAAAACCTCATTTATGACGAGTGTGAATGCTTATTTACTACAAAGCATGTAATGATTTCTTTGATATATAAATTTCTGCTCTAACTTTCATTTTGACATTTGAAATCTGACTTTTATTTGATATTGAGGACTTTGAGACTTGCTACCTTTTAAAAAGGATATTTTCATTTACGATGAAGTCATTATTTTTTTTTTCATAATTTCGTTTGTTTTTGTTTTGAGTGAAAGTTAAAAAGAGTTTTTGAGGACTTGACTCTTGAATTTGCCGAACATGTGGCAAAGTAAGGGTGCGCATGAATACCATTCTATGCCCGGGAACTATTTCTGAACAGAAATGATTTTTTTTTATTCTGTGTCCAGAAACAATTTCTGAGCATTTGAAGGCGTTTGATAAACTGTCCAAAATTTCTATTCCTAGAGTAGAAAAGAACAGAAATGCGTTTGGTAACTACACAAAATTTCTTTTTATTAATAATATTTTGAATTGTTTAATTTTTTTTTTCTTTCTACCCATTTTCTTCTTTGGCCATGGCCGGTCGCCGGCGGCCAGCCACAGCCCAGGGCTGGCGAGGGCGTCACGGCCCTTGCCGGCCGCCGGCGGAGGCGAGGGCGAGGGCTGGACCCTCGCCTCCTGGGCGAGGCGGCTCGTCATCGGTCATGGCGAGTTCGACCTCGCCCAGATCGGGCGAGGCTGAGCCTCGCCGTGGGTCGCGACGGCGAGGCTCGGCCTCGCCAAGATCTGGCGAGGCCGAGCCTCGCCGTCGCGACCCACCGGCGAGGTCGGCCTCGCCCGATCTGGGCGAGGCCGACCTCGCCATGACCGACGGCAAGCCGCCTTGCCCAGGCGGCGAGGGTCCAGCCCTCGCCCTCGCCGGTAAGGGGGACCCTCATTTCCGCCAGCGGCCGGCGAGGGCCGTGACGCCCTCGCCGGCCCTGGGCTGTGGCCTGTCGCCGGCAACCGGCCACAACCCAGGAAAGAGCAACACAAAGAAGAAAAGAAAAAAAAGAAAAAGAAGAAAAAAAACTGATTCTTAAAATTGTGCCAAGAAACAAGAAGCAACTTTTTTTTACTTCTTGTTTCTCTTCCAAAACTGTTTCTGGGCACAAATTTTTGTAAAAATGTGCCCGGGAACAAAAAGTTTACCAAACGCATTTCTGTTCCCAACTATTTCTGGGAACAAAAGAACAGAAATTTTCACTGTTTGGCACGTTACCAAACGGGCCCTAATTTTCATCTTTCAGCACAATGACTTCTTTCCTCAATTTCTATCTTTTTATACAAAGATGAGCAGCCAAATAACAAAACTTTATAACATCTTAATTGGGTTAATTCAAAAAAAAAAACCCAACTTTACCTTGAGTGACAATTCCGGTCCGAACTTTTTTTTTATCTCATAAAAAATCACCAACTTTCACTTAAATTCCAAATCTGACCAGAACAATTTGAAAATTTCACATCACGAGGTCAGATTTAATACTCGAGTAACAGTTGGTGCTTTTTATTGAGATAAAAAAAAAGTTCGGGCCAGAACTGTCACTCATGGTAAAATTGGTGCTTTTTTTTTTAAATTAGCCCCATCTTAATTACATCCCTCCATTTTAAGGAAAAAAATCAGTCAAAGGATAGTCTTTAAATGATGCTGTTTTAGGTGGTGTGTGAACAGAGACAGGGCTCTCAATATAGAAAGTATCAAACCCTAATAAGATTTTTCCATATGAGGCAGCAAGCACAAACTCCATGTAAAGGATCAACTAGCAAACAATTCTACACCGAAAAAGTTTCATTTCCTTACCATCCTCTTCCAAAACCTCATCAGCATCATCTCCTTCTAAAACAAACTCCAGCAATATGAAGACTCCAATGCTCTTCGCAATCCTCTCGTTCGCTCAAATTCTTCTCATCGCCTTCCTCCCATTTGCATCCGCCGACCTCGTCGACGACACGTGCAAGAAGACGCCGTACAGCAACTTCTGTGTCTCGGCTCTCAGATCTGACCGCCGGAGCGCCACTGCGTACACCGCAACCCTAGGCCTAATCATGGTCGACAAGGTCGACGCGAACGCCGAGGTAACTCTGGCCAAAATCCAGGACTTGCTCCGCGGATCCCCCAACCCAGGGACGAAGCAAGCGCTGACCTTTTGCGAGGGGTCATACAAATTTGCCAGAAGCGAGTTGGTGCCCTCGAGCAAGGATAGTTTTACAGGAAGCGTGTACAAATTCGCCGTGGACAACATGAAGCGAGCCGCGAGTCAGGCGTCCGAATGCGAGGCGGGCTTTGGAGGCAAGTCGCCATTATCGGACTCGAACGATTATGAGAACAAGGCCGCCTCGGTGGCTTCCGCCATAGCCAGTTTACTGCTGTGAGCAATGAATGATCAGTGAGATGGTTTGTTAGATTAATAAAGGTTGTAGAAGAAATGTTTTGCTTGGAAGCAAAATGAAAACTTTACCGTAATGTTTCTTAATGGAAGTGCAGTTTTTGTCTGATAATACTCTACGAATCATATCCAATACCAAAGCATGCTCATTATAGAGCCGATCGATATGATAGATAACATTTCCATGACGCAGCGCCTCTCCACTAGCTAATAGATATACGGGTGGACAAATTACAACAATTCACGCCTAAAGTCCTTCCCTCCTAATTGACTTTACAAGCCCCCTAACCCGGATTTGCTTTGTTTAGATGCTAATCGTTGCTGTTCTCCTATTTCTGCTAGTTAAATGAAAATCGGTTCGTTTTGACCAAAAAAAGAAAAAAGCATTGCGCACGGGACACATCATGATACGTCACATACTCAAAAGTTTCGAATGGATCATCTTGGTTTCAAGGTGTCTGAGTTATATGGAAGTGAAAACATCAAACTTTCCAGCAAGCTTTAATAAGTTGATTTTGTTGTATACACATAAAGTACAATATCACCTTTGATGGTGGCACCAACACGCAAAAGATCATATACACCTCATCGATCAAAAGGTAGATATACGTTTGCAAATTATAAACGAAGACAACATGATTGTTTACATGTCGAAAACACACAAAAGATAAATGGAGCAATCGCCTCCAAGCAATTAGGGCTTTAGAACATGATACACACGTAAAATAGTAGTTGTTTGCATATCTCTTGTAAATAGTCCAACAAACAAAGTCTTAAACCTATTCCACTTGTTGCAATTCAATTCTAAATCTTTTAATTTGGCCAATTTAATCCTAAACCTTATAACGCTTTATCAATTTAGTCCTTCTGGCCAAATCGAAAATCGCTTATGTGATCGCGGGCCATTCTACGTAGCATGACTGGTACTGATGTTACCCTTCGACACCTCCAGGCAAGGGCTTGTCTATGGCTTTTCTTCATTTTATTTATTTTAATCTTTGTTCGTTTTCTTTTAAAAAAACTTTTGGCCTTTTTATATTGGTAGTCTAATTTAAGTAAGATTTCAGGTAAAAAATTAGGATTTAAATTAGAGAAATGATTGAATGACAATCTTTATGTGAGAATAACAGTCTATTCTAGTTCACAAAAAAAATAATTATAAATTGTTATGGGTTCACTCTTTCAAGAATTTATAGTTCACAACATGATATTACTCTCACAGTGGCCTAAAGACTGTTATGTTAGCAAAACTCTTTGGAAAAAAATGGCGTCGTTTTAGTCTCATACTCCATACTTTAGTTAAAGGTAATGTCACATAGAAGGAAGGAAATAATAAAAAGCCATCTCGACATTTTCCATTAGTCAAATTAGATAGAATTAATAAATGGAGTTTATTGCACCAATTTGGCAAATTCTAGACTTTGATTGAATTTTTTTTTAAAATTTCATGACTCAATTGTACTTCCGCAATAATTTTTAGGATTTTACATGTAATTATCCCTTTTTTTGCATAATTTCATCTATTTTTGTGTTGAGTGAAAGTTAAAAGGACTTTCTGAGGGCTTGACCTTAAATTTGCCCCACGTGTGGCAAAGTAATTTCCATCTCTCAGCACCAACATTTCTTTCCTCGATTTTTTTTTCAAGAAAAATGCTTGCAACGGTTATGCCTCGATCACAAATATTATGGATGAAAAAGAAAAGATAGAAGTCAAAAATGCGCCCGCCTTTGATTTTGTGGCCAGCATTTCACCATTATACTGTTACACGATCATGCCAGCAGTGCACTTTTTTCAATGATGCCGTGTTAAGTGTTATGTGTCAACAGAGATATGGCTTTCAATATATAAAATATCAAACCCTAGTAGATATCTCCCATAAGGGGAATCAATCACCACCTCTATTTAAAGGATCGACTAGCCCGCATTTCTACACCAAAAGAATTCCATTCCTTACAATCCTCTTCCAAAGCCTCATCAGCATCGTCATCTCCTTCAAAAACAAACTCCAGTAATATGAAGACTCCAATGCTCTTCACACTTCTCTCGTTCACTCAGATTCTTCTCATCGCCATCCTCCCGTTCGGGTCCGCCGACCTCGTGGACCTCACGTGCAAGAAGACGCCGTACGTTGCCTTCTGCGCCACGGCTCTCAAGTTCGACCCCCGGAGCTCCACCGCGGACACCAAAACCCTAGGCCTGATCATGGTCGACGAGGTCGAAGCGCACGCCAAGTTGACTTTGGCCGAAATCAAGCACTTGCGCGGCAAGGCCCCCCACCCGAGGGCGAAGCAGGCGCTGACCTCTTGCGAGCAGTCATACAGAATCATCATAAGCGCGATGGTGCCCCCGAGCAAGGAAGCTTTGACCAAAGGCGACTACAAGTTCGCCGTGGAGTACATGAATGCCGCGGCAAACGACGCGTCGGAGTGCGAAGCGGGCTTCGGAGGAGGCTCGAAGTCACCGATATCAGGCTCGAACGATTATGAGCGCAAAGCTGCCTCGGTGGCTTCCGCCATTGCCGGTTTATTGCTGTGAGCAGTGATGATCGGAGAAATGAATCGTTAGAATAGTGAGGGTTGTATAAAAATAATGTGCAGCTCGGAAGCAAAATGAAAACTGAATCGTAATGTTTCTTAATGAAAGTGCAGGTTTCGTTTGATGAAATGCTGTTAATTGTATCAAATACCAAAACATACTCATTTTAAAGCTGATCGATGTGATATAGAAAAGGCACACATTATATTTTTCCTCCGCAAGTAAACAATTTCACACTCTTGATCATATATATGACTAGCTATTTGAAGTTCATTAAGTTAAATTTAGATTCTTAACAGTAATTTTTCCGGATTAATATCTGTCGGATATTAACAAATGCGTAAATGTATATATTTCCATGATCAAGAGCCTCCCCACTACCTAATAGATATATGGGGAAACAAATCACAACAATTTAGGCCCATCAGAGAACTATTTTGTATACAGGATGCGTCATGTGATCTTGACACGAAGAGAAACTAGCAAATCGGAGTTAAGAGTTTTCAAAAAAAGATAAGAGTTTTTTTTAATACATGTCAATTAGACAATATAATTGATCGGTTTACCCAACGATACTTATTACAACAGATTGCGTGCGCGAGGGAGAACCTAATAATTTGGTAGACTTCGAATAGACCATCTCAAAAAGTTTCAAATGGATCATACGTTAGCTTCAAGGTGTCAAGTTATAAAAGTGAAGACATCAACTTTCGGGCAACCTTTAATCAGTTCATTTTATCATATGCAAATAAATTACAATATCACCTTAGATGGTGGCACCAACACGCAAAAGATCACATACACCTCATCAACCAAAAAGTAGACATACTTTTGCAAATTATAAGTAAAGATAAAGTGATTGAGCCATCACCTCCTTGAAATTATAGATTTTGGGATTTTATCCTGTCATTTGTACTTAAACTCTTAGATAATTTCCCTTGATCAGGCCAGTCTTTTTTAATTAGATCAATGCTTTTTTCTCATGCTGAGTGCAAGCTGAACTACCCACCGTCATCATATCCCTGACACTTGTGCCAAAACCCAACAAAGAAAAATTTACAATGGGGCCACAGTAAGTAGAGATATTAATAAAATACTATTCTTTTGATTATGCTACAAAAGAATCATTGATTTGATCAAAGAGCATTGAAAAGCATGTCCAGTAGAGTCATCTTTAGATTCATACATATGGAATGCAATTTACTCCCTGTTGTTAAATTTTTAATGGGCGCAATTCAAGTCCTAAACCTTTTCTACAAAATAAAACCGAGTTTTGAACTTTTCAATTGGTACGATAAAATTTTGAATCCTTCCCAAAAGGCGTAGTCAAATATTAGAAATGTGACCACAAGTCCATCCAACCTAAGATTTTCCACGCGAGCAATTTCGGTTGCGCATTCGGTAATTTTCAATATTAATGATTAGAAAGATTTGATTGTGCGTTTTAAGGAAAGGTAATTTGCACTTGATTGTGCTAACCGAAAAATGCTAAGAACTCGAATACATTATGTACATAAAATTTAGGACTTTCAATGAACTTTTCTCTACCTTGCTCTGATCATGCCTGTAGCTAAAGTTTATCGCAAACAGACATTCTCCTTATGAGTAGGATTATGTTCTCTCCTTGTTTTTTGATGTGGCAAGTTTCTTGTGTAACTCCTAATTTCAGTGTATAAGTCATAAAAACAATCATTGAAGGATCTAAAAACTAAGCCGCATAAAAAAACATGGAAGTAAATCTTGTGTTGTGAAATACTTGTGCACGGAAACACTTGAATTTGCTCTTTGGTGCCACGGTTTGGTGATATCATGAAGATCATTCTATAAATCTTGAAGCCAAAGTTGTAATTGTCATTCAAGATTGACATCGGTCTTTCTGTCGCTCTTTGGTGTCGCAGCTTAGTGTCCCTGATAAAGTTGTAGATAGGGCTTCGAATGGTCTTAGACATAGAGAAGTAAAAGGTGGCTTCGGCGCAAACTGATGTGGTTTCAAGCCTTGGGTGCCAAAGCACTGTTCTATATTGCATGACAAAGAAAAATGGTGGAGATACGGAATCATCGTAGAGATTATACTTTGGGGAAGGTGTTACCCTCTCAGTGGTTAAATGGACCGCTAATTCAAATGACCTCAATAATGGTAACGTCTTTAATAAAGTCTTACAGGCAAAAGCTCCTTTAATAAAGAATCTGTCTTGATATCAGATACTATGGCTAGTAGACAGGACAAGATTAAGGTGGATGATTTACTACAAACCTCTCATTTATGACAAGTGTGAATGCCTATTTACTACAAAGATTAACAGCCACAAGAAAAGAAAACTTGGTAATATCTTTAAGCAAAAAACTCAGTCAATGGATAGTCTTTGAATGATGCCCTGTGTCAAGTGTCAGCAGAGATGTGGCTATCAATTAGGGGTGAGCGCGGTTCCAGGGTAGAACCGGAAACCGGAGAACCGGACCCGGTGGGTCCAGTTCGGTTCCAGGTTCCATGGACAGAGGGTCCGGTTCTCGATTCCCCATTTTTAGGACCCGGCTGTTCCGGTTCCGGTTCCCGGTTCCTATAGGAACCGGAACCTGGAACCGAAATTTGGAACCGGAACCGGATCGGAACCGGGAACCGGAACCGGAACCGGATCCGAACCGGAACCAAGAACCGGGACCAGGAACCGGATCCCTAAAACTTAAAACATAAACTACACATTTGATATTTAGAAACCCTAATTCACCTTGTCCCTCCATCTTGTCCCTCCTGCTTCCACTTCCACCTCGCTCCCGCTTTCGCTTCTGCCTTGCTCCTCGCTCGGTCGCTCCCGCTTCCACTTCCGCCTCGCTCCCGCTTCTGCCTCACTCCGGCTTCCGCGGTTCTCTCCCGCTTCCGCCTCGCTCCACCTTCTTCGCCGCAGGTCTCGTGATCTCCCCACGCGGATTCGCTGCGATTACTCGGGCTCGCCGCCGTCTTCCTCCTTTGAAGCTCCGTCGCTCTGGTACGTAACGTCTTCGAACAACCCCTGCCATTCACGCCTTCTCTCTTTGAATTCACATCGTTGCTTCTGTTCATCTTTTGCATCGATCGATTGAATTAAGTCACGACGATCGTGCCTGAGTTGCGTGAAATCGTGCTCTTGCGTGCACATTCATCTGGATTCATCGCTTAGTGAATGTGAGGAGAGGGAAAATGCGGTGGATCTGTCGCCGATTGAATGTGAGGAGAGGGAAGGGGGTGGGGAGTTAACCGATTGGTTAATTGTCGATTGCGATCGTATCTTAAGGGCCTTCGAGATTTGCTCTTTTTGTTGCTGCTGCCAAAGGGGAAACAACCATGAGTGAGCTCATGGTTGGCCTCACTCTCATTGAGGGTGCTGCTGCCAAAGGAGCTGGTACTTTCTCAGACTTTTCTTAACAGCCTCCCATTTTTTTAATGACTTTCTGCTCGTAAGTGGTGCGGGATTCATAGTTAAGAAGGTTGGTGTTTCTCTGTATGTAGTAGTGTCTGGGTTCGCTTCATTCGTAGGCAACTTATAGATTTACAAGATTTTGGTCTTTCTTGTTTATTAAGCTGCGTTATTTTGTGTCCCCGGTTAGAATTCTGCTCTCTCTTTTCCGGATATTGATTATTGTGCACGTAACTAAGACGGGCTCGCGTCTTATTTCTTGGAGATTTTCTTTTGGTTGATCCATTGTTCTGTTCCTAACATCCTCGTGCCATTGGTTGTTTTGCCTGTTTCGTTTGAGCTCACGGTAGAATGACAAGGTTTTTCTTTTCTTTTTCTTTGGGTGTTTTTTTGAGAATATTCAAAGCTGAAAAATTGATGTTTGAGGTTCTCATTTAATCTTGTTCTACAATGTTCAGTCTGCTTAGATGGTACATTGCCCGGTTATCATCTTCACAATGGCTCTGGATCTGGTGCAAACAGTTGGGTGGTCCATTTAGAGGTTTGTTGAATGGACTTTATGTTATATGATTTAAAAGAGCATACTTAAGCTAGTTAATTTTGCAAACTTATGTTATTTCTTCTCTACTGCATGGTTTTCTTGCTCAGTTCTTCATGGCACTCCAATTCTTGATTCTTTTTCTGTCTGCATTTTCTATAAGCCATTTGATGTTGTTTTACATTGTTGTAGGGTGGGGGATGGTGCAATATAGTGAGGAATTGCGTTTACAGGAAAACTACTCGTCGTGGTTCATCAAAGTTTATGGACAAGGAAGTAGCTTTCACAGGAATATTGAGTAATAAAGCTGAAGAAAACCCTGGTATTTAAAATCTATTAACGATTCAATCTGTCTCGAAACGATTCTTTGCCATAGTTTATTCAAATTGGAACTGTCATACGAGCGATTGTGCTTTGCTGGCAGATTTTTTCAATTGGAACAGAGTAAGGATACGGTACTGTGATGGGGCTTCTTTCAATGGAGAGAAAGGTGATATGTATTGAGAAAAATGTGGCATCTTACCTTGGAATTTAAAGTCATATGTATTGTATCCCAACAATTACAATTTATCGTGCTATCCCCTTTCTTTTAAGAAAAAATGTGACTTTTCTATAATTTATCTTTTGTATTCTTTTTTGTGAATGTTCATTTTCGTTTTGATTAACTAAAAATAAAATAAAAAAAAGAATCTGTTGGAACCTGGAACCGACCCTGGAACCTGTAACAGGGTAGGTTCCAGGTTCCAGGTTCCAGGTTCCAAGTTCCGACGGGTAGGTTCCAGGTTCCTCATTTTGAGGAACCTGTACCCGAGGGTAGGTTCCAGGTTCCAGGCGAAACCTACCCGGAACCTGGAACCGCTCACCCCTACTATCAATATAGTTAGCATCAATTTCTTCCGTAAGAGGAACCAATCTCAACCTCAACCCCCATTCAAAGGGTCAAACTAGCACACATTTTCTACAGCAAAAGAATTCCTTTCCTTACCATCTTAACCACATCAGAATTATCATTTCCTTCCAAAACAGACTCCAATACCACATGAAGACTCCGACGCTTTTCACACTTCTCTCGTTCACTCAGTTTCTTCTCATCACCATCCTCCATTCGCATCCGCCGACCTCGTCAACGACACGTGCAAGAAGACGCCGGACACCAACTTCTGTGCCCAGGCTCTCAGTGATGGGGTGTATCGCTAATCGAATCAGAACGATCACGCAGAGAATAAAAAAAAATTAAATGATACACGAGTTTATCCAGATTCACCCCCGAATAGGGCTACGTCCTGCAAAGGGATTCCACTATAATTTTTAGGGTTTACAACTACAATCACTCGTTATAATGATCTCTCATACGAGTACAATATATATAGGACTTAAATGGGCCCAAAGTCCAAACCTATCAAAATCCTTTTGATCCCACAACAAACGGGCCAGCAAACTCGATGTTATTTCAGGGGCGCTGCCCCCGAGTCCCCGCCCGCTCACCGACGAGCGGGGCCGCCGTCCGCTCACCGGGGAGCGGATCCCCCGCCCGCTGTCCGGTCAATGGGACCTCCGTGTCGGGGGTGCTGCCCCCGAACCCCCGCATTCCGTGCGCAGGGGTCACATGTCGTCGGATTATACTTCGGTTTCCCTAAGCTCATGTGAACGTGCCCGGTATAAGAAACAAGGATTCCCGAAGTATTCGCCAACTCCAACACTCAGGTCCGATCCCCGGAGCTCCACCGCGGACACCAAAACCCTTGTCCTAATCATGGTCGACAAGGTTGACGCGAATGCCAAGTCGACTCTGACTGAAATAGAGCACTTGCGCAGCAAAGCCCTAGACCTGAAAATGAAGGAAGGGTTGTACTTATGCGAGAAGTGGTACAGAGTCATCATAGTCACGATGGCGCCGGCAGGCAAGGACAGTTTGATGAAAGGCGACTACAAAGTCCGCCTCGGAGTACATGAACAGCGCGGGGTTCGGCGCATTCGGTTGTGAAATGGCCTTTGGAGTCTCGAAGTCGCCAATATCGGACTCGAACGATTATGAAAGCAAAGCGGCCACAGTGGCTGGCGCCATTGCAGGTTTATTGCCATGAGCATTGATCATCGGAAAGATGGTTTGTTGGATTAATAAGGGTTGGAGAAAAAACATATGGCTCGGAAGCAATATTAAAGCTAATCCGTAATGTTTCTTTATGAAAGTGCAGTTTCTGTTTGATGAAAATCTATTGACAGTATCCAAAACTAAAACATGCTCATCTTGAAGCTGATCGATATGATTGAGGACAGACACGCACATTATAGTTTTCCTCCTCAAGTGAACACTCTTACAATTTTGATCATATTTATGACTAGCTTTTTGAAGTTCACTAAGTTAAATTTAGATATTCAAACAAATGTAATTAGGTGTACAATTCCATGATCAAGCGCCTCGCCACTAGCTAATACATATATATATATATATATATGTGTGTGTGTGTGTGTGTGTGTGTGTGTGTGGGGGGGTGGGGACTTACAAAAATTTAAGCCTCTCAAAAAAGTATTTTGTGCATGGGATACATCATGTGATTTTTACAAGTGGAGAAACAATATTATTATACGAGTATCTGTAGATATTATTATAGCATATTGTCGTTGATTCAGCAGATTGATTAAAATGAAAAGATATTCTAAAATCAGGTTACTAATGTAATTATGAAAACTTGTGAACAGTACCGAAAGATTGATTTGACTTTGTTATGAGAAGTTGAGGGAGTAGATTGAGCAAATTGAAAATTTATGAACTAGATTGCACATTTTGCAATAGTTTATGGACTATATTGCACTTTTCGTGATAGTTTAGAGACTGTAATAATTGTCCAAAAAGTCATAAACCTATTGTACAGCGGCCAAAAATCCATAAATGTGAGTTTGGGAGAAAATTAATATCATTAGAGGTCCTCAAGAGAACATCATCCCGTCTTTACTATTTCATCCATTTACTTATAATAAATATCAGATACAAGTAGTACTTTAGGGTTGGGTGTAAAGAAAGACTATAACTAAAAATACAGATAAATTTGTTTGGAAAGAAAATAAAAGTCATTGAAAAACTCTCAAAAGGGCCACATCATCTCTTTACTATTGATGACCCCAATCACTTTAAAATATATAGATTATCAACACAAATGCTGAAGATGTCACATCTAATCATGACTAGCTACCACACTTGAATATCATTAAAAGGGCCACATCATCTCTTTACTATTGATGACCCCAATTCCCTAAAAAATCCCGAACTTTAGGTTTAGTCCCAAATCTGCCCAAAATTTTTTTTTATCTTAAAAAAAACCCTCAACTTTCATTCTAGTCCCAAATCTGCCCTGTTAACTTTCTGTCAAAAATCACCGTTAAGTCTTCTTACGTGGCAATTCCGTGTCAGCACAAAATCCACATCATAAGCTGACATGGAATAACTCCAGAAAACATCGACGTTTTTGCTCTGGATATTGGGGGAAAATTAGGGCTTGCTTTGCTTCGTCTTCTTCAATTTGCTTTTAAAGATCGACCAAAAGGAATTCGCACTCAAAGAGACAACACCGCTCAGTCGCTCCTGATCAGTCGCTCCCTCCATCAGGTTCGCTCTCTACGCCATGAAGCCAGAGCCAGCTAGCGTCTCCGTCGCCCTCTCCATGGGTTAGCCTCTCTTTTGTTTCGCTTGAAGGAATCGATCGCAATTCGCACTCAAAGAGACAACACCGCTCTGTCGCTCCCTCCATCAGGTTTGCTCTTTACGCCACGAAGCCAGAGCCAACTAGCTTCTCCATCCCCCTCTCCATGGCTTAGCCTCTCTATCGTTTCACTCAAGGGAATTGATCACGAACAGGAGGGATTCCTCCATAAATCGACTGAGTCGTGGACTCCAAAGCACTCGATCTCTTCCTATACAGGCTCGCGCTCGGTCACTCGGTGGAGAGAGTGGCGGAAACTGCGATCAACCCTTGTGTTAACCAGGTATTTGTTCTTCCGTTTCTTTTGCTCTTTTTTTCCCCTAAATTTAACTTTTATCGTTTTTGATGAAGTATGCGTGCATTAATCTTGATGTTTTCAATTTTTGCTATCCCTGTTACATGTATGATTCTAGGTTCTTGAACATAATTCAATCGCACAAGAATGTTGGTTGATTGTTGTGGTAGTCAATTGTTCTTATGATGTGAATTGTGTCGTTTACAATTCACTTCAACCAGTGGAATGTGTTTGACATTGAAATTGCAGGTTGATCATCATTTTGCTAGCAAGTTTTGCTCGTAAAAAATTGGAGTATTACTAGGTTGAATCAGAAGCAATGGTGGGTTCATTCAATTGTCGACTCTTTATGTTCGAATTTTGTATCTTCAGGCTCGACAAGGATATGGACTTTTCATGCTCATTTTGTATCTTCAGGCTTGACAAGGATATGGACTTTTCATGTCTGAAACTGGGAATTCATATTTAAGGATAATATCTTTGTCTAATTTTAAATGTATATCGAAAAGAAAAGCAAGTTCATATGTAAGATTTTTTTTTTTACTGCAGATGCCTGGTAGTGATAGAGTTATTGACATCGGAGGTCCATCCTTCTCCAACGAACAAACAAGAGCAAGGAATGTTCAAGTTTCAATAAGCCAATCTTCAATTGATGTCTCGGAATCTCCATGCACTCAACAATCTGGAATCGGTGGTGGATTGTGAAATTGTGGACCAAGAAATGCTAGTGGATATTCAGTGCCTGCTGTTAGATGAGGAGATTTTGTTGCAGACAGAAAAGTGCTAGTTTTTATGTTTTTTGTAAGTAGATATGGCTATGTACTGTCTGGTGTGAGGATATGGTAATGTAACTTTCTATATGGGATGGTTTGGTTATGTACGATGCATTGAGTTGTGCTTGTTATGTTGGCATGTCTCTCTTTTCCAGCACACAATGTGGATCGGTTTAAGTTAATCTAATGCTATTTAGCAGATTTTTGCCTTCGCCTTCTTTTGAGCTGTGCTTGCTATGGTGCTGGGATTGGTTGAAGGATCAAAGTTGGATCATTATTTGTGGTTTTAGCTGTATAAAAAGGTCTTATCAGGGAAGGTGAAGGAGATACAAAAGTCTGGTGTTATATTGTGCAATCTTGTTTGCTGAGTTGCGCGTCAGCAAATGTTTCGTGTAAACAGTTACAACAGTTTGTGCTATTTGACTTGGCTGCTCAAGTTTACAGGAGAGAAGAAATTGGTAGGACAATCAAATAATTCAGACAAATTCCACATCAACTAATTCGGTAACTTTTGTATTTCAAGATCAACAAGGATTACAACTCAATATGTCTTTCACCAACATTAGAAACAAATAAATCGAAAAGAGAATATGAGAGATCTAAAAATACAGCTACAAGATGCTCCGCATCATCTAAAACACAATTTCATTTCACTCAACCCCTACTAAAAGATGCCATGGATGTGAGAATGCTTTCTCAAAGCACCAGTGTCAATAAAGGTTTTTCAGCATCCTTCATATCACAGCTGCAGTCGGCTTTGACTCAAGCTCGGGCACCTTTGCTCCTTTTCCTTCTCTTTCAAGGCCTTCAATGTGTTCTCTGCATAGTCACTTGAGTCCATGCTTCAATGTGTTCAGCAGCCAAGTACATATATTTTCAGTTGAATAATGGCAGCAGTAACAACAACAAATCAAGCCTTATCCCACAGACGATTTGAAAAACGACATTGTCACCTACACTTTCGATGAGAAGAAAACTAACATTTTCCATGAAGAGAACTGTTAAATGACGTTTCATTTAGTTGTTCTGAGTTTTTTTCCCTGATTCTCTTTGCTACCTGTTTAACTCGGCAAAACCAGGCTTCTTATACCATACTGCAATGGGAAGATATACACTCTTATATATCTTTTTTGCAAAAAGCACGCAAATGACACAGATTTTCGGAAGTGTTCATGGTACAGAAATGAGAAAGGAAACTGTTGCTTATAGGGCTGCATCTATACCTCATATGGTGGTTGACTCAATTTCACAGAACAACGTCAAAAAACTGTTGCTTATAGCAAATTCAATTTCACAGAACATGGTAAAAAAACTGTTGCTCATAGCGAATTAGGTTTTTTTCAAGTAAAAGGATTTCAGAATAAGGAGGAACACTTGAAATACACCAAAGAGAACCATCGGCTAATGCTCACTTGAAAATTCAGGAGCTTTTTCTTCCCATCCTTCGGTAAAACACAAAACGAAAAATGATTTCATGAGCTTCTTCACTGAATTAACACTCATCAATGAATGGTTTATAGTTTTTGACTTCAGTTATTTGGAATCATTAGACATACTCAAGGCATCACTTAAAAAATCCCACGAACTCTATCTAAGCATTCCTTGCTAACCATTATAACTTTTGCCTACAACTTTTGGTCACCATTTATCTTATCAGCAAGGAATTCAATTGACCCCTCAACATCTGCTATTCCAGAATTTCACCCTCTGTTGCTCACCAGCAACCATCACTGGTCACCATAGAAACACGTGAAGCACAAAGCCATGGCGATAGTTCAACAGCGTACTCGGCAACTATGAAAGTACATCAAGAATCCTGTCTAATAATTAACAAATCGATTAATAACATGTGGACTATATCAAAACATCTTCCGATTGAGCAATTCCAAGAATTAATTCATGACTGTATCTCACGGACATATCATCAAACAGGTTGTATACATTCGATTAAAGGAGAAACGATACATTAATGAGCTCGGATTTGATACTAATCTCTAATCCCATTCAGGACGATCGTAATCAATTAACCTAAATTGAGAAAACATCTCAGCACATACATATATGTACAATTAATTTTCGTTTGATTGACCCAGTCACATATATGCAGCATATTCAGAAAGACAATGTACAAGGAATGATTCAATTTCATGCAGGGGACTCTCGGATAAGTTCTGAGGTATAGCATACCAAATTGATCTCGTAAGTTCTGAGAAAGCATTCTCACATCAATTGCAGTTTCCGCCACCTCTCCACCGAGAGGCCAAGCTCGAGCTTGTATAGGAAGAGACCGAGCGTTTTGGAGTCCACGACTCGGTCGATTTACGGAGGAATCCCTCCTGTCCGCAATCAATTTCTTCGAGCGAAACGATAGAGAGGCTAACCCACGGAGAAGGGGATGGAGAAGCTAGCTGGCTCTGGCTTCGTGGCGTAGAGAACGAACCTGATGGAGGGAGCAACCAAGCGGTGTTGTCCCTTCGAGCGCGATTTTTTTTTTTTGTCGATCTTTGAAAGCGAATTGAAGAAGACGAAGCAAAGGAAATCCTAATTTTCCCTCAATATTCAGAGCAAGAACGTCGACGTTTTTTGGAGTTATTCCATGTCAGCTTCTGACGTGAATTTTGTGCTGACGTGGAATTGCCAGGTAAGAAGACTTAACGGTGATTTTTGACAGAAAGGTAACGAGGGTAGATTTGGGACTAGAATGAAAGTTGAGGGTTTTTTTTAAGACAAAAAAAAAAGTTTTGGGTAGATTTGGTACTAAACCTAAAGTTTGGGGTTTTTTAGGGAATTGGGCCTTAAAAATTGTTCATGTCTGCACATCCATATCAGCGATTTTCGGCTAAAATTGACTGGATTGACTGAAATGGCACAAATGCAAAAAGCTTATGACTTAATTGACAAAAAAAATATTTAGAACTGAATTGACATAATTGTAATGTTTAAAACTTATTTGGTAATTTTCCACTTAAATGATTGAAGAGTGACCTCATTAAATAGGTTCTAATATCCTAATTCAGACGTTGAATTCAGTTAACTTTGCTTTGAATCTCTTGTCGATTTACTCGCGAAGAAGGCAAGAAGTCGTGGCCATTCAGTCATCTTCAATGATTGAAAAATAATAATAAAGAGGACGACTATGATATGTTTTCTCGAATAGACCGTGGCCCAAATGTCATGGTGGCTGCTCCGTTTACACTTGAAACTGTGGACACACAATTTTATTAAAGTACAAAGATCATGAACAGCTTCAATCCCTCCAAAACTAATTGTCGATTAAATCAATGTACAGATTCGAGAAGAACAATGGTAACGACAAAAGAGACACCAAATCTGATATACTTTCCATATTGTATGTGTGTCACAATCCGAAGTTTGAAGAGAGACTCCTCACCAGTTGTTCTGCAAATTTTACAAAGAACAAGTTGTGTTTTTGAACTAAAACCCCTAACCCCAATCCCAACCCACATATTTCATATAAGATAATTGCTACTAGGTGGAACCGAAGGTTCTGATGCGATTAAATTTCTACATAATGTCACATAAATACATACAGACATACGTACGTACGTACTTACACACTTACATTCGTACATACCTACGTAGGTACGTACATGCTAAAATGAAAGTATTCAGATTATCAAAAGGACAAAGCAAGTGCTTTTAATTAACCCACACCAGATGAATTGTGGAAGCAACCTTATCGAGATAGCGTGCAATGCATGGTAAGCCAAAAACCACCCGCAACTCATGATCATACGTTGTTTCTCTTTTTTACCTGTTATGGGATGCCATGCATAAATATTGCATTGCTGTATTTACTGGAAGACAAAGCCAAAATCTATATTAGGGATTACGTGTTTCTCTTCTTAATGTGCAATTAAGAGACAATTGGAATTTTGCCCAAGTCCTAATCCATCTTTCAACCTCCCATCAACCTTCAACTTCCTCTTTTTTGTTTTCCCTTCATTAAGTCAAACAATGAACAGCTTCTTCTTCCTCACGCCCATCTTTCTCTTCAGCCTAACCATTGTATCTCTGCGAGCACCCGCTCTCTCGCTCGAAAAGAGCGTCGACTTGATCAAGAAGACTTGCAAGAAGACGCCGTACCATGATCTATGCGTCTCGTCCTTGAGATCGTATCCTGGCAGCTCTGGCGCGACTGTCCACGACCTAGCCGGCATAATGCTGAACTTGACTTTGGCGAACGCGACTGACACGTTGAGCTTCATACAGGTACTGATCAATCAGACCGAGGACCCACAGCTGGAGATGCCGTTGGACTATTGTGCCGAGCTGTACATACCGGTTGTGAAGTACACGCTGCCTCAGGCCATCGTCGCCTTTGACAAGAGTCAATATGGATTCGCGGAATACGGAGTGTCGGATGCGGGAGACCAGGCCGACACATGCGAGAAGCAGCTCTCCAAATCGATGGCATCGTCACCGTTGGGCGATAGGAATAAGCTCGTGAGCGAGCTGTGTGACGTGGCTGTGGCTATTATCAAGATGTTGCAGCAAGGTTAAAGTTAGTCTCCGTTGATGATGATCTCTCTCTCTAGCAACGTTCTTTAGAGAAGATGATGACACGTGGCACTTTGAGTGAATGGTCTGATTCTGAAGATGATGATGATAAAGGATCCGTGAGAAGGAAACATGAATCTTGCTTTGTCCATGACATGGACTGATTATTTTCCTGTGGATTGATATTTATTAGTGATCATGATGTAGCTTACATAGGTACTTGTGCGAAAGAGTTTGATGTTCTCTCTCTCTCTCAAATTCGATATTATATTGACCAAATCCAATGAAATATTTCTTGTACATATAGGAAAGGGTAAGAATGAACTCGCCAATTTCGACTGATCTTCTCATGTTCAATTCTTCGGAGATCTACAATGAACAAAAGATAAGGAATGGACGTTCCATATTAACATAATACTAATGCTTCAATCAAGACCAAGAATAGCTTTCTTAAAAACAGTAGGGATCTTGATTTTCGTAGCGCCATGACCCAATCATAAGTCAGGACTGATAGCTGCTAATGAAGAAGAGAACTACTGATGCTCTTAAAATGATTTCAAGGGTTATTGAGTGTAGGTTTACAGGTACTGGATACATGATAAAGGTTGAATCGTGCGAGGCCGAGGTCGGGAAATGAGGCGATTAGTACTGTGCCTGAATTAGGGAATACGGTGAAGAAACCCAATTAGGAAGCAATGAGATCGAGATGTATCGTGTCAGCAAGAAACATAAACAAAAGAGAAGGCGAACCTACTATGGTGCATGGAAACTGATCTATAATACCAACATCGGGTCATAAGAGTCTTCATAACTTAAGTCACATTGCCCCACTCATCAAAACCTCAGATGGATGAATCAGTGGTGCATTATTTGAATGTTGGTCACCTAAGAGAACCAGCAAATCTGAAATCAAACTGATATTCGGCCCCACAGGACAATAGAGCTAATGGGAGGGGAGTTCTCAGAACTGCTCTTGATCTGTCTTGCCAGTATAAAAGTCACGTTATTGGGCAACACAACACCATTTATTGCCAATCTCACCATCATACAAAATTCAAACAGTTTGATGCAATAAATTCCTCGGGATCGCCTATATATATGCAGGGTTGACTGTATCAAGAAATCAAAAAAACAGCCTTGCAATTTCAGAGAAGAGAGTTGAAACAGATTGAACACCTGATCCTGATTTAAGGAATTCAATTCAGACATGATCAAGTGGACTTGGATCTAGCAACAGAGATTTTTTCAAAATAAGTATCTGCACACACGTGAGGCCATGTGCTGGACTGGTTGCTCACACTAACATGCTTACATCAAGAACACTCTCCTACTCATATCAAACCTGAAGGGTTACAAAATTGTATTGAAATGAAAACGAGCAGTGACAAAGTTGACTGCCCTCTTTCCGCACTGGTTACGGCACTCTCAAACACCGCTGAGAACCCACGTACAAGTAGCCGTGAGGATTTACAACATCCGAAGCTAGCGAGCTCTTCTCTGCTTTCTTTCTTCAAATTACAAGTACATCGGTTCTAACTTATGTGACAAACGATGAAACAGATCTTACATATGCAGAGGAGGAAAACTAATTAATCCAGGAACATTTCAAGACAACGGCTCGGAAATTATCTTTTTGGCCAACGCGCTGCTAGAGAGGCAACCAATGCAAAGACAGAGCATCCCGCAACAAATAAACATCTCATACGCAGGATAACTTAACTCACTCCCCCAACTTTGACGAGTATACAAAAGGGGATAAATTAACCAGCAAAACAGTATGTAGTAGCCACCTGTACAGGTAAAAAAGGATCGCGACCGAAAGGTCCAAATCATCGTGCAACTCTATCCGGCTTTCCCTCTGCACTCAAACCAGCAACCTCCTCTACCAAACTGCACAGATAATCGAGGAACGTCAGTTTTTATTTCCAAATTAAAAGCAATTGACATTGTCCAGAGAAAGAAACCGAAAGAAAAGGAACCCACCGGGGAGAACCGTATGCGGGTCCATTCATGTGAGTGATATATGGATTTTGGTTGTACTGAACCGATATTAGACCTCCCAGTGGTGATCCTGCTGACTCTGGAGAGCCTTCAAAGGTCGCCACCGAGGATTTTGTTCTAGGTGCAATTCCTGCAAGAGCAATGACCGCATCTTGAGAATACTGTGGCTTATGAACAACATAAACTATCAAACTGCTTCAGGAGAAAGTAAAAATCCTCCAACCATTTTAAAATCTAACTATTACCATATTGTGTCTATGCAGGATAAAACACTTGCAAAGAACGAGTCCATTGGAAACTAACACACTGAGGCCGTAATATGTTCTGTAACTACTTTGCAGCCCTCTTAATACACACAAATTACCAATGTCTGGAAGACAAGCTTCAACCGTGAGGAACAATAAGTCTCAGTAAGGAACCATGTCCATTTCTCCAGATGACATTAAATTGATTCTCTCTCTAAATAGGAAAAAGCGCACTATCAACGACACAAAATTAGTTACCAGTGGCATATGTACCCTCTCTATTATCTAGTTTCAGTTTGAGCAATAACTAATTTCACAGGAAAATCTAAGCCATGAACACAAAATCAAAGTAACATTACCCTGAAATAGTATCACAAGCAAGAAAAGAACAGTGAACACCATGGCAATCACACTGTTCTGAGAAGACGATGATCCCCTGGCCATTTTTGCCTTCTTCAATGCCTTCATCCGCTCAATCCTCGCACGCTTCAACATCGCAAGTTGAGCAATTTCTTTAATCAGCTTTTGATCTGCGGAATCTAGTGATGGACCTCTCGGGGGTCGGGGAGGCTTAGCGGCCTTCTTATTGCTAGTCTTTTTCCGCTTTTCCTTCTGTGCACTGCCTGGGCTCTGTTCTCTGACTAACTTAGCCATATTTCGAGCATCAACACCATCTGAGTTCAGTATGTTGACATAAAAACTGACACCATCTTCATCATTCACCGGACTATCATTAAGCCTCCCATAGACCTCACTAACTAACTTCACTTCTTTTTTGGTAGCAGAAGTAGAATCTTCGCTCGAACCTTCTTCACTACAATTACCACCAACTTCAAGATCAATATCAAAATCCCTCTCTCTGTGTTCCATTAGAACCCCCAATCTGACACCTTTTCTCCAATACAAATTTAAAGGAGTTCACAACAACGGCAAGAGGTCTAATAACAGCTAGAATCTATTAATTAAGCTCTAAGACTCGACCCGATTCAGCAAGATTGCTTCGCCAGGGATACATGCCATGTCAAAGCAAGCAACTTTAACAGACATTTGAACCTTCATGAAGTAAACAACAACGTGGCAATTTAACTTGCAAAAGAGGCTATGATTTGACTTCAAATAACCTCAGACTTGCTTTGCAAGATAGAGACTAACTTCTTATAGAAGTCAAACAAGATACCAAACCCCTTTTCCACCACCTCAAATCAAAACACATGCGATCTTTGCCTATTTTTGAATTGCAATCCCGACTTCAACCACAACCTGCAAGTTTTCAGCAATAAACATCCATCATTAATCACAAAAATGAGGAACTTTGCGCCAAAGTCAGGAACTTTGGGCCCAAAAACAGCCTCCAAGAGAAGAAAAACGAAAACCCAGAACAAGTCGATCACAAAACTTCCACCGGAAAAAGAGTTCAAAAGGACCCTCTCAACAATCTGTACAAATTACTTGGATACATCGAAAACCGCTCGCGCAAATCAACAAAATGGACGAAACCAAGCAATGGGTACCTTCCAGAGAAAGCGAACGAAGAGCCCCGGATCTTCTTCCACGCGGAGATGGCGACGATTTATGCCGAACGCCTTTCAAGCAGGTCCAGCGCGCGAGGGAAGGAGGCGAGAAGGTTCGAGGAGAGGCAAGGAACGAGGAAGAAAACTAATGGGTAATCCTCAAATCTCTTTCTCTTTTTCGAATGAATTTGAAAATGACCAGAGGATAACGCAGGGAGACGCCATTCTCGAGGTGGGTGTCGAAGGAGATGGCGTCTTCCTAGGAAAGAGAGAGAGAGGAGGAGATGGGGGCGATGTTGCTGTGCAGAGGTGAAAGCTTCACCGACACATGGCGTGTCTTGTTTTTATATATTAATTTTGTCAGTCCCATTTTTTCAAAATCTGTTCTTCTTCTTCTTCTTTTCTAATATATTGAAAAAAAAAAGTTTTATCTGCTCAGGAAAAGGAAAATCGGTGGCCCCTGAATTTTGGAAAAATATTTATTGCTCATCAAACAAATTCAATGGAACTTATCTGTTTCCTTGGCCGAAAAATGGAAATGTATTGCGGTGGTGCATTATCTAGCAGAGAAAATAGTTATATAAAATAGACAAAATCAAGTAAATCTCTCACATAATCTCACGAATCTTCCATTTCTTAACTACTTTAATTTGATTTTTCAAAATGACCCAAGTTTTGAACATGTCGTTTTTTTGCACATCTAAAACTTTTCTATCGACTTTCCAAACATAAATGCGCGAAAACTTTGATTTCAAACGATTATCGTATGGATAACCTCTCACGAAATGCAATATTCGAAAAAGTTTGCTCTTTCGCGAGTTTAACTATATATTAAAAGGAACCGACTTTTAAATTTGTCGATTTTGTAGCTTGTGCTCAAGAGATAACAAAAAGATAACGAGAAATATATAATCATCTTTAAAGTGAAACTTTCGACGTGTTCCATATCCAAATTGAAAGTGTTGATCAAGTATGCCAAGACTTTATTAATTTGGAGCTACTTTATTTCAATTCTATTCCTGATGACATATTTGAAGTAGTGGTAGGACACTATACTTGACCCTCATAATAAAAAGACAGAAATAAAGAAGGAAGCCGGGCAGGTCCAAATTAAGTGAACTCCCCAAGCTTTTTTCTTATTCTAAATATAGGAAATAAAAAAGGAAATAATATATAAATGTGGAGTGTTCTTAATTCTTTTGGGGTCCATGGGCCCAACCCAACTACTCTTGCCAAGGAGATGCGTGGAATGATGCCCCCAAAGATCCCAAATTGATGCTTAAAATAACTTGATCAAAGGGCTTTGCAATGCCCTTGTTTGGTGGGGGACATGTCATGAATGGGAGCAAATGGGAGGTCCCTAGAGTCTTACTAACAATCTTGCCCAAAATTTTAAAAAAGATAAACAAGGAAAAAAAAAATTTATTCTCCATCTTGACGTCCAAATAACATTATGATCGAATTTCTCGATTTTCCATTTGAACAAAAGTCGAGAAAAGGCGAAAAAAATGACAAATATATATAAACTCTATATATAAGCCCCACAATTATTTAGGAGGGGGAGGAACAAGACCACGTGCGCCTTGATCTATCAAAATCAAGGCATTGCTCCAGGAAAGATTAGCTTCCACTAATAGTGGGGCCAAAATTTGGTCTTCAAAATCTTGGTAGTCGTCACCCTCCTTGACCATCAATTAATTGCCGCCCATCTTCTTGTCGAGATTCAATTTATTTATTTTTTAATTGACCTAAGATCTAATTTGGAAAATATCTAGCTATTTCATCTGAAATATCATAATATACAAAGCCCTGTATAGTTCAATTCCCTAATGCAATCACATGTATGTATTGATGGGAATCTAATCCACCATGATTTTCTTGTGAAAGAAATAGATTTGGCTAGATGTTCACCATGGTATTGAAACTTTATTACCATGTACATTAGTTAAATCCTATCTAACTTTTTCATCACAAATTATACTTCTTTTGGCGGACAAGTAATTGTTTTTTGGCTTAAAAGAGCCATACAAACATGCCCCAAGTTTCTTGCTTTCCTCGTTCGAATCATGACAACCAAAATGTCAAGCTACATCATACTTATTAACCAGACCTCCAATGAGGTGTTTTCACATATTATTCCAGCAAGAGATATTCCAAGACTTGGTTAAATATCAGCAAAGTCCCGCAGAGAAACTCCCAAAAGTCCAATACATGGAAATGTGTCCCTAAACACTTGGTTAAATATCAGCAAGAGGAATGTTAGAACTTGAAAATGGCGGCCCCGCTTGATGGCTTGGAGGCGAACAGGTAGAGGCCGAGATCGCTCTTGTCGATCACTCCCCGATCAATTCTCGATTGATAAAAGCATTCCTGAGGAGATTTTCGAACATGATGTCAAATGGACGGTTACTATTCTCCAACAGCGATTCGAGTTTCGGCGTGAAAAGAATACAAGTACCTTCAGATTGAGGATGAACTGCGGGACAATGCTCTCTTTGACGAGAGCGACCACGCATCCACCCCATCCAGCTCCAGTAAGCCTCGCGCCTAGAGCGCCATTGTCGCGACTAGCCTTCACAAGCTCCTCCAACTCAGGACAGCTAATTACAGGACAAAGGAAGATACGAAACAATTACAAAGCAGAAAACAGAAACTACGCTCATCTTGGTTGCCACTACAAAACAAGGGGACTGCAAGCATCACCACCTGATGGGCATTGTGTTACCGAGATTATAACACTAAAGCATTTTAATCTGATTTGTCCACTCTTAATGCTCTACATCCAAGATCTGGTTCATTTAGTTCGTTTTTCAGTCAAGCACATTGACACCATTGGCTCACATGTTGTTCTTAGTTCAGACTAGTGCCTTCATTATCCGCAGATTATACTCCATCTACTTGGCGTGCCCTCATTGCTTAATCAAAGCAACGGATCACTACCAAGCAGAGTCCTAATTGTCGGAAACAAGGCACTAGTGCAAGCATATAGTAGTCTGTATATATTGAGCCACCCATCAAAGCTAAATGATGCTTTTGTAGCCTATGACTGTGACTTGTGCTAATTACATTCAAAGGCTTCATACTTCTGAGTGTGCGGACATGTGCTGAACCACCCAACAAAGCTAAATGATGCATATGAGCATGTGCTGAATTGATCTGAAAGTAGGACATAAAAATGTACCTGCACTCGTACAAAACGCTGCAGCTGTAGTGGCTCTCATTCATGAGGTCACCAAGCTTCTTTAGCATATCATCTTCACTGGTGAAAAAAAAGAGAAAAAAGACAATTCGCACAATACACACTTCAGGAACTAAGGGGAAAAAAGTATTAGATTGAATAAGGTTCTTCATGCTGCACACATGTTTTATACGCTTCATCTCCCAGGATATTATTGACAATGTGGGCAGTGTACATGTGAAGGGGGGAAAAGAGCTGTCGGCAACTGTAAAAACTGACCTTAAATTAGAAGATACGGTGTCCTTGAAAGCATACACTCTCTTGGCTTCAGAATATACATGAGATGCCCTCTACAACAAGGATTATGATTCAATCAGAGAAAATTAGTCCACCGAAGCAAAAAGTGAACATATCTTCTACGATATCCATGCATTGTTGTGTAATACATCATCTAATAGCAGTTTAGATAACAACTTACAGATTTCAAATTCTTTCCCAAATGGAATTCTCAGCAATTGATTAAAATTAGATCCTTCAGAAACCAAGTTCGGAAAGACCACATTTTCATAATTTTCAAGTGGGTCAAAGTTCAAACAATCAGAATATTTATCATGCTGTACGGAAGATATAATGGTAGCACTAAAAAGATGCTTCATAAAACTAATACTTCTGCTTAAGCTAAGGATTACAGAAGTACCTGATACAATTTGAAGTGCTCGGCAGCTTTTAACACAGCCAAAGAAGATGGAGAATGGCCTAAAACGGATGGCAGATTTTCCTCGGTAATTATCTCAATTTCCTCTGCTGTATAAGGCTCCTCATGGAGAAGTTCCTTTCAAGAAGTAAGCAACACAGGAGAGTTAGTTGGAAGGTTTACAGTGACCAATGGACTGCAGAGTCCAATGTCCATCCCTTAAACAAATCAATGGCAAGCAGGAACTAAGAAATTTATAATGCACATAAAAGGGAAACAAAGAAGAGACACAACCACATACCTTAACCGCAACAACAGGATCAGAAGAATCATGTTTACCGGCAAATGATAAGCACAACCCTTCTACATCAGAAAGAGTTTGAACTTTTGATATAGCCTCTTGTGGTTTCATTCCGAGCTTTATCCCGAGAACAATCTGCGGAAGAAATTAGGAGAGCATAGTGAACTTGGCATACATAAGATATGCTGCAATTGTAATATCACATTCCAAATTTATGAAAGGGTCACCCAATCTTCCACAGCCACGCATGGCTAATAGAAAATATTAGATAATGGAACACTCGTGATAAAGAATTTTCTATGCTAAGGACCTTGCAAAAACAAACAAATAAAGGAAAAACCTACAGCAGCTAATCGGCACTCCACCACTCTATTATTGTAGTTAGTCGCAGCAGTGACAGCCTTCTGAGATTCCGCCAGGGAATGAGCTATTACAAATGTACCACCGGCAGGAAGTTGCACATCAGTTGCTCGAATAGGGTTGAAATCAATGAGCTCAGCAAATCCAGGTTTAGCCATCACGGATATGGCCTGTCAAGTGTGAAACGAAATTATGTGTTAGTCTTCACTGTGAAGTCTCATGCGAATAAAGTATACAGTGAACTAAGAGAAATCAATTTTTTCCTAAATAAATGTACAACAATAGCATTTTCCAGTAGAATCCTATACAAAAACTCCCGGTGTCAGACTATGTTCCTAATAGAGAACCTTACAGTTTATATGAAAGAGACTGTCACCAAAGTTGAAGTGATTTAGTGGGTTACGGGGAAACCAAATCGGACCATAAAGAGCAACCAATGCAACATCACAGGACAACGATGACCCTCTGTACAATTATTATTACAAATTTTTCAGTGACAAAAAAAGCTATAAATTGGGTTATAGCTCGGTCCACAGCTGACTGCCCCAGAATATAGAGCTAAATTGTTCCAGAGTCACACAGAACCTTATCCCAAAACCTTCAGAAGCATGACGAATTGACAACATCTAAAGCTCGCATGATTCCCAAGGTCAGCAACTTACAATTTAGCTTCATAGATTAAAGATTGACGAAGATGGAAAAGTTGAACTTGCAATGGAAATTGAGGACAATCTGAATGATTACTAACCTGATCCATTCCACCAGACTGAGTTCCAATATGCCGTTCA